GTTGTGTGTTGAGAGTGTGAGTCTGAAGCTGTGCGCATGAATGTGTGAACGACGTTGTCGTGTGAGAGGAAGTGCTGAGTAGGGTTGGGAAGGTAGAGAGATACGAGATCTTCAAGCAAAGGTGTGTATTTGTTTATTTTTATTTTCGTCCTCCATCTCCTTCTATCGGTGATTCGTTCCACTCTTTATTTGCCTCTTTATACCTTATTTCCTCCTCCCTTCGTGGCTACCTACGCGGGTTTATGCTCAGGATAAGACAAACCTCGACCTAACATTGAATTATCAGGAAAGAAATCAGCAATAGTTCAGATATTCGAACATTCATCATGTCTTCGTTGTCTCGCAGAGCCTGTTACAAGTCTGTTGCCTCCCTTTCCTTCTTGACGTGTCTTCCTACCCCACAAAGATTTCCCAATTTCTGACATTCTTGGCTCTTTTTTCCCCTCAGATGTGGATCCATCGGCCACTTTGCTGAGGTTTGTTCATCGCCTGAGCGCCTTTGTTACAATTGTAAGAATTCTCTTCTTTCTTTCTTTCTTCTTTTCTCCCCCCCCCTGTTTTCCTGGGGGAGAATGAGGAAGGGATGCCTTCAGAAATTTATTTTCCAATGGAATTCTCCGGGCACAAATATCCATTTAAGGTAAAACTGGTGCGAGGGTGCTGACGTGTTTTTGTGGGGTACAGGCAAGCAACCGGGTAAGCATCTTGGTCGCTGTTCTTTTCTAAATTAATATCCCCTCTACCTTGACGAATTTTCATACTCAACGGCAGTCATATGTTTGACCAGGACACGAATCCAATGGATGCCCGAACCCGAGAACTACCGAAACCAAACAGTGCTACCATTGCCAGGGCCTTGGACACGTTCAGGCAGACTGCCCGACATTGAGACTCTCTGGAGGCGGCGCTATTGGAGGCCGTTGCTACTCCTGCGGGAATCCGGGACATTTGGTGAGTGATAATGCGAGCATCGGGGTTCGGCAATAGTGCTAACGGGGGCGTTATCAAAGGCAAGGGCTTGCCCTCAGCAAATGGGTGCTGTTGGAAGGGGAGCTAGTGGATACTCCCCCCGTGGTGGATATGCCGGTGGATTTGTGGGCCGGGGTGTATTTCCCGTACACCCACGCCCTGCGACATGCTATAAATGCGGTGGTATGTTTTTGTTTATCAAAGAAAGTGCAGATATCGTTTGATACTGATTATTGGGCTATCGAAGGCCCGAACCATTATGCTCGTGATTGTCAGGCGCAGGCCATGAAGTGTTATGCCTGTGGGAAGTTGGGCCATATCAGTAGGGATTGCCAGGCTCCTAATGGGGGCCCGTTGAGCACTGCTGGGAAGACATGTTACAGATGCGGCGAAGCCGGTGAGTGCACCATCTGCGGGAGTAGGTTACATTCGTGTTCTGATTCTCCCAAGGCCATATCTCTCGTGATTGCCCGCAAGCTGCGGAGCAGGCGGACCAGCAAACTGTCGTCAACGGCACCGTTACTGCATAAGCTCGACGAACCCATCAACGTCGATTTTTAGTGCGGAATGACTGACATGTTCCTCAGGATATGTCTCGCGGATCTAATCTACGATACGATTGCGAAAACAGGTTCTTTTCCTTGGCTTTAATTCAGTGGGGCATTTTGTTTTTATTGCTATTCCTTTCATGTCGGTTTCTCTTACAACCTGTTTAACATTCACTGTGAATTCTTTTTCCCACTTCACTTTTTCACAATTTTTATTTATTCGGGCTTTGCTTTGCATTCCCTTTGTCTAGCCACCATATCGCGGAAAGACGGAAAGTCCGCAGCTCAGAACTGTATGTAGCAGGGAAGTGGCGGGGAGGTAAAATTCGGGGGGGCAAGGCCGGATGGGAAGTTCGGATCGGAGCTGCAGTAAACGGGCGGCTATCGTTTGGGCGCTCGAAGATACGTGGGGCGCCACGTGGTTGCTGTATGTTGAGATGATTTGAATGTGAGAAAGTTGAAGCAAGCAGTCAATGGAATCTGTGGTTTTCTTATGATGTGCTGCGCTATCCGTGACTAAAGACGTTAGGTAAAGTTGGAATTGATATGCGTACAGTACAGTACGGTACTGTGCATGACATTTGCCAAGACTTCTTGTCATTCTATGGAAACAAGCTTGCCCAGCGTTCCTCTCATCCCTTGCTTGGGTGCCGGTAATTAATATATGCGGTGTAACGGCAGGGGTGGCTTCCTACTTAGTCTAATCCGTTTGTCTCGCATTGGCACTTTTCCTTCATTGTTTGTCATTTCCGCTTTTTGCAGTTCACACCGCCCCCGATAGACATCCACCCGCCACCAAGATGCCGATCGAGGAGGATTTTGGGGACGATGTTCGTGCTCTTCTATCCTTGGGAGGCGTCATTTGGGAAAGCTTTTTGACTGGTTGGCACAGGATATATTTGAGATTCTTGATATTGATCAATTGCAAAATCATGGTATGGGGGAGGAGCTCTGTGATTGAGTGTAGATGATGTGCTGATGTGGGTAGGGATTGGTGCAAGCGATATTTCGAAATTAAAGGCGTCGGGTTACTGGACTATTTCTGTATGCTTTTGCGTTTGCCTGGCAATCTTGGGGGGGGGGGGGGGTTCTGATGGTGGTTTAGTCTGTTTGTGCGGCTACTAGGAGGAATCTATCCAAGATCAAAGGTTTGAGGTGAATCCCGACTGGCTCGGATCAAGGGGTGCTGAATTTATAGGTTTTTCCGAGCAGAAAACCGAGAAGGTCAAGGAGGCAGCGGGCAAATGCGCTGTAGAAATCCCACATCCTTACCCACCTGCCCCAAGTTTTCACCCAACTGACCGATATAGCCCCCATCCTACAATTTCATAACGGCTTCCGAGCTGGGACATATCCGCCGCAAAGTCTGCCGCATCTCAACCGGCAGCAAGTCCTTCGATGCAATGTTGGGCGGCGGCATTCAAACAATGTCTATAACGGAAGTGTTTGGAGAGTTCCGCACCGGAAAGTCCCAGCTCTCTATGACCGCATCCGTCATCTGCCAGTTGCCGAAAGATCACGGAGGAGCAGAGGGGAAAGTGGCATATATTGACACCGAGGGAACATTTAGGCCGGAAAGGATTAGACAGATTTCTGATAGATTTGGGGTCGATGGAGAAGCGGCGTGCGAAAATATCATCTACGGACGGGCGCTGAACTCCGAGCATCAGATGGAGCTCTTGAATGGGCTTTGCCAGAATTTTGCTTCAGGGGAATTTAGGCTACTGGTTTTTTTTTGCATTTTCGATCCTCGTATGCTTGATCGATTGAATTGAAAATAACTAACCATTGGAAAAGATTGTCGATAGTATCATGGCCTGCTTCAGGGTTGATTATTGTGGGAGAGGGGAGCTATCCGAGTAAGTTTGCTCCATAGCTTATGTGGTGGTTTTTCCTAACGGGGTCAGGCGTCAACAAAAACTTGGCCAAATGCTTTCAAAACTCTCTCATATGGCCGAAGGTTTACAATATCCCCCCTGAGATTGAGGCAATATACTTACGTGGGTAGAATTCAATGTCGCCGTTCTGATGGTGAGTGATTTCGCTGCTGGACAGCTCCGATATGTTGTCTCAGATCACCAATGGTGGGACAGACAAACCAAGTCCAGAGCGATCCTGGCGCAAGTGCTCTCTTTGCTGGAGCTGATGGGTAAGTGAATATCTGCGTATGGTTTTTTCTGCCGATTCCGAGGTAGTGGACTGACTGACGATTGGTCGGTAGGCGTAAACCCGGTTTGTGGTCATTGATACCCCTAATAACATTGCCGAGTGCTCGGGGGGAGCTAATATGTGGGTAATTTTGTCGCTGAATAGTTGGCGGGTAAGTATATTCGGTTTTTTACCCTACGATTGCATTATCTGACTTCATTCTTTGCAAGGCATGTCCTTGCTCATGCCTCTGCAACGAGGATTCTCTTGGTTTGGGCCTTGCCGTCCTTGGTGCGCATTTGCTCACTTTTGAGTAGCGCAAAGGCCGGGGCGAAGAGCGTGTCGCCAAACTCCAGGATAGTCCGGACTGCCCAGAGCGCGAAGCTACTTACATAATTACTAACGGGTTTGTACATTTTTGGAGCCTAACTTGTTGGAAAGTGGTTACTAACCCTACTGCGGCACCAAAGGGGAATATCCGACCCAGAGGGTACCAAGTGATGCCATTTCGGCTTACTGATCAAGAGGCGGAAGGACCGGATATGGGGGAAAGGGTTGCTTCATTGTCCTTCTTGGGAATTAGGATTAGGTACCGGGAGTTTGGATGAGATACAGTGACACTTGGTGCTTGCTATTTGTTGTTATTGTTGGTGCAGCATGACGGCATGTGGGTTCTGCTGCACTTTTAGACTAATATTCCGCTTTAATATAACCATGGACGATCTTGCATTGATTTGCATGATCATTGCTGGATTGGGAATTGTGATTTCACTGGCGGACAAGAGTCCACCTTATCGCCAGATTCTTATCTGGTGTGGTGGCGTTTTCTTGTGGTAGTGATGGCTGGGATAAAGATTTGTTTCTTTTTCGATATCAGAATCAAATTGTTCTTGCATTAACTTGGTGCCTTATTCTGGTTCCGGTGGTTTCTAATTAACCCCGCTTGGAAATGGCACAGTCTATTTACTACAGGTGGTGCTTAGGGTGTGAACATTGATCTGTTGGACTCTTGCTATTTGGTCAAAGTTGTTGTGCGTATGTGTAACCCTGTTGCTTCCTTTTTTTCTTTCTTCCCAGCTGCTCAGCCAACCTGCTCCTATATCCCACTAAATTTTGTTGGAGGAAACAAGTCTGGTGAACCCCCCCCCCCCAGTGGCTAAATGGAACCCCATTCTCTGAGTGGTGGAGTAGTGACCGAGCCAACCAGAGGTGTTTAACAGACTCACCCTTGATACCCTGCACCAGTAGTGTGGAATAGTGGCTAGAGTTTGCTAGATGATATAATATCACGGCTTGTGTAAAAGAAAGTTGTCTCGACTCGCAAAACTTGCCCTGATGCATCGCGTGATTATTTTTCAAGCACCATATCATACGAGCAGATTAGCACGTTTGCCAGCGTTACGCGGTCACGCTCTGGATATACCATACCATTTAGAGGCGTTCGCCGGCCAACCTACCTACCTAACCAACCTGTGGCCAAAGATTCCATCTAATCTAATCACGAAGGGCGCGGGGGGGCATTGTCTGTCGGAGACAAAGTTTACCAATCCGAGCCACACGATAGTCTATCCTTTTGAGCGAATGGGCAAGGGGAAATACATATGGCGGACACCGTGAAGGCCCATCCATCCGTGGAAGGAGCGCAACGAGTTCCCCCTCCCGAACTCCAAAACCGGGGCGGAGAGTGCGCTGTTGACTTGTCCATACCAACTGTGCAGCCATTGTTGGGCGCAGGAAGAGGATCAACCAACGAACTACCACTGCCCCGCGTAGGCGGTCACGATTTGGCGGGGAACTGCTGTGGGGCCCTGGCGATGGAAGGGCGCCTGTTACGGTGGAAGAGGACACTCTACGATTCATAAGGTCTCACTCGTTCAGCGTGGCCTTGGCCGGAGGGGGTGCCGGACACATAGTCTATGATACCATAAGTTGCGGCGTAGTGACAGTGGCAACTCTCGGAAACGTCCTGGAAAGACTTTGTGGAGGTGTCATGTTCCAAGACAAAGGGTGTGAGGAAAGTGAATGGGGTGGGGGGTCGTAGGAGCGCGCGTGCCGGCAGCGGTCTGCTCACTGAATCCACGAGGCTGGGCCTTGGATACCGGATATACGGAGGGAAGTCAGAATCACGCGGAATAAACTTGGATGTCGGTATTGGACTCTTCACAATCCCATCATAACTCAGCGCATCGTCCAGACGCTGGTCGCTGCGCACTAGTCTCACCCAACTCCCCAGTGCCATCATGATTTGTTTCAAGCATACTATTCGTTTTCAATTATGAGTATTTTACACCCACTGATCCATCCATCCATCCATTGAGCAAACATGGTATCTGAAGAAAAGAAAAAGAAAAAAAAAACAATACTCAGCTGCAACACGATAGCGACAAAAGCCCCCCCCCCCCCTTTTATCTCTGCTTTCAAAACCACAAACGCGCCCAACTGAAAGTAACTACACTAAGCAACAACACGCGGATAATTCAAAACTGCCAAGGTAAGTAATCATGTAGCTAGAGAAACGTAAAACTAAATATACACATCAAAAAATCAAAAATCAAAAAACAGGAAAATTCTGAGCATTCACCATTGCAAACATGGTAAACATGGAGCTACTTTTTTCCCTTGCCCTTCACTCTCGGCTTTGGGGTGGCCTTTGGTTTCTTTTTAGGTTCGCTATCTTCATCGTAATCATCATCGTCATTGTCGTCATCTTCCTGCTGGCTCTTCTTTCGAGCAGCTTTTCCTTTGCCCTTACCCTTCGGGGCGGCCTTAGGTTTCTTCGCCTTAACGTACTTGTCCTTCGAGAGGTCTTGTTCCTCCTCGGCTTGTTTCTTAATGGCGTCCTCATCGCCTCCTTCATCCTCACTCTCGACGATGGCATCTTCAAGATCTGGGGCATCGCGCTTGCTGGCTTTTGGAGCGGCGAAGCCGGAAGATTTCATGAAGGGCATGGGGTGAGACATCGAGTTGTATCTACTCTGTTAACTATGGAACTGCAAGAACGATGATAGGGAATCTGCTCACTGTCTAGTAAACGAGCTCTTAGTTTGAGTTGGGATGTCAAGCGCGCTCGCTGGTCCAACAATGAGCTCAACAGTTGCGTCCCAGTCGTCCTTTGTCAGAAAGTAGTTGTCCATGGTATCGATGACCTCGAAGATCGCATCTTTGCCCTCACGCTCAAGACGTTTGGCGAGCATGTTGTAGAATGCCGGAATATAGCTTTGACGGACCTCATGACGATCACCGGATGCACGGAGTCGGATATGCGATTGAATCTCTTTAACGAATCGGCTCAACTTGCCTTGTTTTGAGTTATTTCCTAGCCACGATGTGAAGCTGAAATGCTGTCCCCCAAAGCTGCCATACATGTAAGAGGCCGGCTTAACAGTAGAAAACATTCCGTGAGCGGGCATCAAACTCCATTGCTGTTGAGGGCTTTGTCAAGTGTTAGTTCAGACATGTAATCAGGACCAAGACTTGGAAACATACCCATGGATGAGCGCATCTACTAAATCACCATCAGAGATGCTCTCTGAAGCATTTTCAACCAATTCAAGCATTTTCAGATTTTTCTCCCGCCCGTGATAGCTGTTTGCCCTTGCCGGATTGGTCTTCAGGTAGTTCTCCTGCACCATCAAGTGCGAAAACTCGTGATCATTGAAGTAGAGCTCAATCTTGTCGTTAAGAGTTTTCTTACTCGTTGGTGCAAACATCTCACTACCCAGCAACTTTTGCGCGATATCCCAAGGTTTCAATACCACATGTTTCTCCCAAGCTTTCGCCCTATTATACAGTTAGTTAGAAGACAGGGCAAAGGACGGCATAGGGTACTAACAAATTCTTTCCCTGATCAAATGTCATACTTGATTGTGTAGTGCTATAGGTGGATAACATGTTGATTATTTGGCGAATATCTGCATGTGTCCCCTCCACAAGTTGGTCAATGACATTCGGTGGTAGGTTGATGCCTTCACGATATGCAATAGACATTATGCGAGAGCGAACTGCGGCGGCGTCGGGACGCCTGAATGGAAGATCATAGGTCACCATGTCGAATGGTCTCATCTTAGGCAGTCTGCGCTCGTTGCAAATACAGATGATGGGAATCTGGAAAGGTTAGATTTCAAACGCTGAATTTGGATAAGGTTATTTTGTGACATACATTGGTCTTCTTGCACACAGCGGCTAGCTGTCCTACACCGCCACGGTCGCCTGCAGACATCCCGTCAACCTCATCCATGATGAGGACCATCTTCTGCTTGGAGTGCTCTACCTCCTTCCTGTCACCAGCGAAATACCCTAACAACGATCTGTTATCTAGCACACCACGAAGTTTTTCCTATTCATCCCATCAGCAAATGTAGAGAGTAAACAGGACTGGATGAAATCGCACCTCCATGAGCTTTTTGCTACGAGTATCGCTAGCATTGGACTCAACGATATCGTACCCTTCGAGCTTCGCGACTAGATGAGCAGCCGTTGTTTTTCCTATACCCGGCGGCCCATGGATCATGACAGCCCTGGCGCCTCCCATCCCATCTGCGCCTCTCATCTTGAAATTGGTCTTGAGATTCTTTGGCCAATTTCTTAACCATCTCCCGAGCCTTTCGACCTGACCCTTATTGCCGCAGATTTGGGTCAACTGCGAAGGCGCGTACTTGACTGTCCAGAGCTCCGTAGCCTCCTTCCCAATAGCTTCCTTTCCTTTTCTCTTGGTTTCGTTATCCATTTCCTTCGCCAGCTCACGGACCTTCTGCTCTTCCGCGGCTTTCTTGGCCTCGTTGGCCTTCGCGGCAAGGCCATCACCACCATTAGCAGGAAGAGCTGAAATAAGCTGGAAAAGTCCATCCTCGTTGATAGTCTTGATTTTAAGTTTGCGAATGGTTTCCAATTTCTTGGGACCGGCATCACTCCCAAGGACCACATAGGAAGTTTTTGAGGACGGGGCTGCAGTGACTTTACTATTGAGAATATTAGTAATGATCCCCCCAAAAAGGAAACACAAACAGCGTACCCTCCGTATTTCTTAACAAGCTGTTGTCCGTCCTCCCGAGCAAGACTCTCCAATATTCCAGTGAAAACAAAGGTTAATCCAGTCAGGCAGTTTTCCTGGCCAACAGGTATCTCCTTGCTGCCAGGAGCAATCGGGGCCACTCCCTGTCGTTGTTTGAAATCCCTATAGCTGAACTTCTTGGGCTCCCCATCCGTCGGAGGTGGTGGGGTAGGTGGCCGAAATATCGGGACACTATCGAGTATCTTCCGAACACTCTCACTCTCCTGAGGCGCTTCTTTGGATTTTCTCAGCACTGCCTTTGCTTTCTTAGGCGTCGGCTTGGAAGCTTTAGCAGCGGGTTTAGCTTGCTCAATCTCATCATCGTCATCGTCCTCGGGTTCATTGTGCAATGGAGCAGTCTTGCGCTTCCTTGTCGCAGGGGTAGTAACATTTCGTCTCTTTGGCTTCACGTATTCATCTTCTTCCTCTTCGCCACCCACGACAAAGCTATCCATGTCCACATCTTTAGCATTCGGTAAAGAGGACTTCCGCGTCTTGGTAGGAGGGGTGGCCTTCGCTTTAGATTTTGCTGGTCTATTCTTCTCCACAACAACAGCAAAACTAGCCTTGGCAGCTTCGTCCTCATCCTCTTTATAATCATCCTCCAACTTCTTGAATTCGTCTGCGTAAATCCCTTCGTCGAAGTCGTCATCGTCGAGAAAGTCTTCTTCGGGTGCGGGCTTTTTCGGTTTACGCGGAGAGGTACGTAATATTTTATTTTTTCCGGTACTCGAAAAATAGGTGGATGTAGTCGTGGGCTCAGCTTTGTTCTCCTTGGTGTTTTTCTTCGGAGTTGGTTTTTTGGCCGCTATTTTCTTCGCGGGCTTCTCTTCATCGTCGGAGTCTTCTGGGGAATATTTTAGTACGTCCATGGAAGCCGCCGGATTAAAGAAAAGAAAGCGGGGGAACACGAACCAACAACCCTGCGTTTTCTCGCCGAGGCTCTCCTCTGCGATTGTGATTGTAATTAGTAAATGCAACTTGTGGCGGGCAATTGAGGGAGCAAAGTAAAGGACATACAGAAGCAGGAGTAGGGGTTGGGGCCGGTTTCGGCTTCCCAGCGGCCGGCTGCCCGCCTTTTGGTGTGAAGAAGTTGCGAATATCGGCCGACATTGCCTTGATGTTGAGTTGAAAGCTGGCAGAGGAAATATGGAAGAAGTGGAAGAATAGGACGCGTCGTGGAGCAAAAGTGCGTGAAGCGCGAAGGGCGTAACCCACAGGTTACACCTGATGGCTTGGCTGATAACCCACAGAATCATGTTGACAACTTTGGGGATATGGCTTGGCAATCCCGAGAAATGATTTTGTGAGATTCCTGGGCAGAATGAGATTGCCGCCCGGTTGGTAGCCATCGGGCGTGCGTGGAGAAAGGAGGGCAATCACCCGTCGCTTCCCCCAGACACTTGTTGAAAAATAAACAAATTCGAATCTCAGCATCGAGAATCCTAAAACCATTCAGCAAGGGATTGTCCGGCACTTGAGAGGGTATCATCATGGACAATTTTGCGCCCCTCCCTTCATGTCAACTCCGTAGGGGTGTTTGTGTAAGAGGACAGGAGAAGGAAGGGTAGTTTGCAATCTCCACTAAACTTGGGATGGTTAGTGTGTCGTCCGCACCATCGTGATAGGTTTCTATTACAATATCTTGTTCTCACACAATGCGAATGTTACCTCGACTCTACTCGAGTACTTGTAGAGATACGGTACTGGTACGGCAGGAGAGTCTACAGATTGCGTCCCTTCCCTTGTTCCTGAATTTCACCTTATTTTAGCATGTGGACTAACCAATTGGTACCTATTTAGCCACCCTCCACAACACTGAACCATTCCTGATTGATTTCTTTTCTTTCAGGTCAAGCCCACAATCCAGAGCACTAGACTGTTCAAGTAATCAGACCACACCTACTATGATACTACAGCACTACTTTTAGTTGTTTCTGTCAGATCTACGATGAGCAGTACATAATTTGCAGTATACTGAGCACTGTAATTTCAGAGTTACTGAAGTTTTTTCTATCCTGATTATGATACCAGAATAGGTTAGTGATCTGAATTGCAATCCGAACCAGAAAGTCACATGTTTCAGGAATACTCTGATCAGTATCAAGAAAAACTATCCTTTTGCTGTCGCTCCCATGGCCTTGGCTATGCACCTCGACGATGATTTGAAAACAAGGCAAGGGATGGTGCCGGAAAAGTCCACTCTCTCCTCCCGCCCGTGATCTACGGATTCAGAGGTTCCCGGGAAATATCACTGTTTCCCTCCACGGCACCGGTAGTGGTTCGCTGTATCTGGTTCATACAATACTGGGACCGAGTACCCTGGATTTCACACCTACTTGAATCTCACGAACATAGCACAAGTCGATTTTGCGGACAAGGGGTAAGCTCTAGCTCTTTGAGCTTGAAAGCCTAACCTAAACACCCAAAGGCGGTACTTGTACAAAGTCGAGTACTTGCGAAGTGCCATATTATTGTATTACACCGCAGGTAAATCAACAGGAAGAAGCTTCTCAGGCCTACCGCATTCTAAGGTATGATACCGCCAATAAGACTGTGTAGTGCTACTTGTCAATTGAATCCCATTCGCAGCCTCACCTGGACTACCCACCGTTCCTCACAATCACTTTTTCCGTCAGACGGTTACGGACATACCGTTGGTCCCTTAGCCGGGTCGGAAGCTGTCCCATCCCCCACTCTATCAGCAGGGCCCACCCTTCCTGCCCCTCTGATAAGCGACACTGTATTACCGGTATACCATTTTCAGGATGGCGGGCTGCACTACAACGGGCATTTCCACTCGGGTTTTAATAATAATGCTCTGGGCTAAATTTTATTCCCCAACGACCCAATTAATTTTCCCCATCATTAACGGCCCAACCAGCAGCGCGCTTTAACATCCCGTCTCGGGGTAGCTTGGTAACTTAGCCTCCTGTCCTTCCCCACTTCCTCTCCTGCCACGGCTACGGTTGCTCCTCCTCCATCTGTCCACTGCACCGCTTCCTACCCACGCCTGCAACATCCACCACCACCCCCGAACCTTCACGGACCCCTTTTCACGGTACAAATAACGGACAACCTCCCCTCGTTCCCGATACTTGTTCATCATTTCTTCATATCATCAAGGGAATTCAGAATACAAAATGACCACCTTCTTCGCTACCGCTAAACGCTCGTTCAAGGATGTTGGTGTTGAGGGGGAGCAAATTCAGACCACGGAGTTTCTTCAAGCTTCCGAGTCGGTCGTTACATTGTTTGGTATTCCTCCCCCCGGTTCAATTAGCAATTGGGGCGGATGATGGGATGCTAACTGCTGCCACTATAGACCACCTCGGATCAACGGCCTTTGCAGCTGTACAAAAGGACATGACCGGGAACATCAAGGTATCGTAGATTCACGCGTTGATTCCCTCTCGCCCCGTCCCACCGTTGACCCATCTCTACCCCAAACATTTTCCCTCCATTGAAACGAAACAACTAATCAATTCACAACAGAAAATCCGCGACCGCCAAACCTCCCATCCAAATAAATCCGACACCCTCCAAAATCTCTGCACAAACGAGCTCGCAGAGGGCAAACATACAGCAACCGAAGGCCTTGTCTGGCTCCACCGGTTCGTCCGATCCCCCATCCCCTAGTCTCAGGTTCACACCCAAATTAACTCAGGGTTACTGTTTCTACGGCCAGCGGACTTGAATTTACCGAAAAGGCCCTCCGCAAAAACATCGACAACCCCAATGAAGAACTTGCCACCTCGTTTACTAATGCCTACGGCGAGACGCTCAGGAAGCACCACAACATGATCGTCAGGGGCGTGTTTGGGCTTGCAATGAAGGCGTGCCCGTACAGGGTGGACTTCTACAAGAAGCTTGGTGAGGACGCGACGGAGGTTAACACTCAACTGGGGGAGTGGCTGACAGCTCTGGAGTTGACCAACGGGATTTTGTCCAGATATCTTGCTGGCGTTAGCTGGAAATAGGGTCATTAGATGCAGTGGTGTATTAGATGGGCATGTGCATTGGCCTTAAAATATAAAAGTGTTTGCTTATCATACGTTGATTTTGAGGGTGGTCCTTGGTGGGCATCGAGAGTTGCCTAACGGTTTTCCGAGTCACAGATTAGGGCGTGGGCTGATTGTGTAGCCGTTTAGGGCAGATGCACCAACTTGGAAATCGCGCAGTCATTAAACAGTATTCTCCAGGCACTACCCATGTTCCAACACGAAATACAATATTTGTCCTGCGTCATCTCTAGCAAATGCTAGCAAAAGAGCTTAATGTGATGGTGCCGATGTTTGTGTTGATTGAGAGGTCGGGCTTCCAGTGCCATGTCTGGCATATCCGGCCCAGTTATGCGTGAAAAGACAATCATTCCTAGGCTCTCCTGATGTTTCCTGCTGTGACCGATTTGAAATCCCGGTAGCCTCAATCTCTGGCCTGCAGCATCCATAATGGTCCTTGTTTTGTGCACCGCTACAAGCCTTGATCATCACAAGATGCGAGCAATCATGAAAAGAGCAGTAAGTTTTAAGGCACTCCCGAATCAACCCCAACAAAAAATATATAAAAAGAAAAGAAAAGACGAAGATTAAAGATATGAGAGGCCATGTCTAGTAGGATCTTCCGAAGAGGGTGTAGTGCTATTTGCGCCATTAGTATATATATATATATCTCTTACTGAGGGAGGAAGAGGGAGGGGCAAACCTTAGCATTTTCACCACACTGTGCGCATTTTGTTGCCCCCGGAATGATGGCGTCGTCACCTTTTGGCTGGTCGAATGGGATGCAGAGGGACTTTGCACCCATCGACGGAGCTTTTGCATCTTCTGGGGCGTGGTCATCGTCTTTGCGACCTTTACTGCGTTCTTTAACTTCCTCTTCGCATTCCTCTTTATCACCTATTATTGTAATCTATTAGTATATCGGTTATTGGCGGGGTTTAAGTCTAGAAAGGCGGCTTACAATGCGGCATGAGGACGACGTTCTTAGCATTCAAGGCGGGAGTAAAGTCCTCCCATTTCTTGACGATGACGGTATGCTCGTCGTATGACCTCTTAGCTTTATCGTATAGGTCTTTCTGAATAGTGTCCAAGAGTGTCTGGACCTGTTCTGCGAGACTGCTAAGGGGGATACCGGCCTTGACACCAGTATCACGACGAGCAGAAAGGACTTGCTTCTTCTCCATGTCCTTGGGCCCAAACTCCAATCTTACCGGAACGCCCTTCAGTTCCCAGTCGTTGAATTTGTATCCCGGGGAGTAGGTGTCGCGGGTATCTGCTTTGACACGGATGCCGGCCCTAGATAGCGTTAAAGCAATGTCCTCGACACTCTCAAGAAGCCTCTTGCGCTCTTCTTCGGTAGTCCTTGCGGTGAGACCGCAGGGGACGATGACGACTTGGTATTGGGCTACTCTAGGAGGGATAACGAGACCCTTGTTGTCTCCGTGGATCATAGTCATGACGCCAATGACACGGGTGGAAAGTCCCCAGGAGTTTTGCCAGACGAAGAGTTTCTTGGCTTCTTCTGGGTCGCCCTCTTTCCAAGACGGGTCCTCGACGATGATGTTAAACATCTTGGAGAAGTTCTGGCCAAGACAGTGGGATGTTGCTCCTTGAATTCCGCGACCGGTAGTAGGGATGTATCCCTCACAGGTAGTGGTGAAGAGACCCCCAGCGAACTTCTCCTTCTCAGTCTTACGGCCTTTGATGGTTGGGACAGCCAGGAGCTCGGAGTAGACACCAGCGTACCAATCGAGGATTTGTAAGACCTCTTCTTCAGCATTTTTCTGGGAGATGTGCGCTGTGTGGCCCTCTTGCCAGAGGAACTCGCGGGTACGGAGGAAAGGCTGGGGGTGCTTGAATTCCCAACGGACGACCGAGTTCCACTGGTTTAGCTTGAGAGGGAGGTCACGGTGACTGCGTATCCATTTTGCATAGTAGGGGTACATGACAGTCTCGGAGGTTGGGCGGATGGCAATGTGCTCTTCGAGCTCATTCTGGCCCCTGGGGAATGATTAGTGATTTGATATTTATTTATAGCAGGGGGGGTGATATACGCTTTAGTAACCCAAGCAACTTCAGGGGCGAAGCCTTCGATATGATCCTTCTCACGTTCGAGGACCTTTGAAGAGACGAACATGGGAAAATAGCAGTTCTCTACACCAATTGATTTGATGTTTATGTTGAACCAGTCTTGGACTTTCTCCCAGATACCGAATGACCATGGCTGATAATCGAATTAGCTTTCTGAAGGGTGGCAGAATATAGTTCTACGAACCTTCAGAATATAGCATCCAGAGATATCGTAATATTCTAACATATCGCCTTTGGTGAGAACCTGTTGGTACCAATTAGAGAAGTCGATTTCCTTCTGAGTTGTGATCCCAATAAGTTCCGCATCTGGAATTCTAGCGTCGACGGTCTTGGTCGGTTTGGTGGGGGCCCTTTGGAGGTCTACTTTCGGCTTTTCCTCGTTGCGGCGCCTATCCCATAGGTTAGTCGGGGTCCAAGTGGCCAAGTCACGCCTATGTAAAACTTACTCGGCGGTGGCTGCGTTAAAGGTGTGGAGAGTAACTTTGACGCCAGTTTCTTCGAGATAGAGCTTAAGACCAGCACCGGAGACAAAGGAAGTAGTATTCGATCCCGAAGGATGAATAGCAACTTTGGGAGCATCAACAAGACGCTGGTCAAGGAGAACTTGGACAGCTGAGGAATTATCCTTGGTGATTGTCAGGGGGGATACATCGGCGGGCTTAACTCCAAGCGCCGCATTCAGTGCATCTTCGTTCGCCAGACGGGTGTCTTTGGTATCTAGAGTCTTCTGGACCTCGGAGGAAGGGGTTGTGGTATCTTCTAATGCTACCACTACAACTAAATTTGCGGTCTGTGTTTTGGGGGTTTCTATACCTCTGTGAGAAGCGGCCATACATGAATCCCGAGAGGATAGGTCTCATAATTCTTTGAACCCCACAAGGGACACCGGTACGTACTTGGTTTGAAAACTAAGGTTTTCGAAAGTGAGTAAGACTTTGGAAGATCCTTCAGGGTCTCCAGCTGAGAAGCCCATTCCTTCGAGTTGGCGCAAGGCCCGTGCTCGAACACCGGAGCGTCTTGAGCAGACATGTTGAGTGATATCGACCTCGTATATTGGCTTTCGTTTGTAGAGAGGTGGTATGGAAGCTTTGTGCAAGGAGTGGTATGGCGAGGAAAAAAGATGGGTTGAAGGATCGCTGGCAGTACCCCCCGCTCCGAAAACCCCAGACCAGGGGTTTTGGCGGGGTTGGGGGAGGGGAAGGGATGTCACGTGCGCTCTAACCTTAGTACAGTACCGGTACGGTCCTGTACGAGTACTGTATCTAACATCCCTGCGGTGCGGCTGAACTGCAGATTCAGTTACCCGGCTAGCGCCAGGTTCTCAGGGTCAGGGTCCCCTGGTTGGCTAGAGCCTATTACAGTTTCCTTCATCCCGACGGATGATGGAGGTTTGAGATGCGTTAAATCAACCATGATATCTCGAACGGCTACTTATATCTGCCATCGCTGCGTATTCCGTCAGTTTCGGTCCCAGTCTACTGGTAATTAAGCAATTGAACATGGGTTACTTGTTATGTGAGTGCTAATTTGTAGGGCAACGCTGAAAGTGGGTCCAAAATTTCTTGCGGAAGGGCTCCTACGTCGTGCCCAGCAACTCAGCAATGAGCACTCCGAATTAGAAAAGCAATTGGCGGATGGCTACGATAAGAAACTTGCGACTCGAGCCGGCCAGTTAGCCTCCGTCTCTCAGTCATTGAAAGAATATCAAGGTGCCATAGCGGCATGTTCCCAGTCCCCATTCATCCGCTACTATAATGCCGCAATCTAACTTTTACAGGCCTTTGGAGAGCTTAAGGAAATGCTCGCGGACCGCAACCTAGACCCTGAGCTCCGCCCGCTAGCAGTCTCAGACATGACGTCTACTGAATCTTCACTTTCCACATTGGCTACAACAATAACACAATCCCTCGTACAGCCCCACCCGTTCGCGCACCTGTCTGCTCTGGTGGAGATTAGGCCTGGTGCTGGAGGTTCGGAAGCAAGTTTGTTCGCGGGCGACCTTTTGAAATTGTATACTACGTATTGTGCCAACATTCGAAATTGGCCATTATCAATGGTTTCTCTGACTGCGAGCGCGGAGGGAGGTGACGGCGTTCAAGAAGCGATATTCGGGGTCGAAGCTCCGGGGGCATACGAGATATTCCGGGGCGAGGCGGGCGTACATCGAGTGCAGCGAGTGCCAGCCACAGAAAAACAGGGCAGAACACATACTTCTACCGCGAACGTGGTTGTCCTGCCTTCATTCCCCCAGGTGGAATTAGGAGAGGGGGAGGAGGACCCGGATAGTATCATCGACATGAAGGATGTCAGGGTCGATGTTATGCGTGCCAGGGGCGCTGGGGGCCAACACGTCAACACTACCGACTCGGCGGTGAGAATGACACATATTCCCACGGGCATTGTAGCTGCAATACAGGATTCGCGATCCCAGCATAAGAATCGAGCAAAGGCTATGATGGTGCTGAAGAGTAGGATTGCGGAGAAGAGGAGGGCGGAGAGGGAGGCGGAGGAGCTGGCGCTGAGGAGGAGCGTTGCGAAGGTTAATGCTGGGCGGTCGGACAAAATGAGGACATATAACTATATTCAGGTACGCCGGTTCATTTCTCAGTATAACGGAATAGATATTGATTGGGGGGGGGGGGGGTAGAATCGGGTCACGGATCACAGATGCGGGTTTAGTCTACATGACTTGCCAAGTTTCATGAATGGTGAAACACTAGATTCCATGATTGACCAGGTACGCAAGTGGCAGATGGAGAGGGATGTAGAGAATCTGGACACTAGGTGATAGGGTAGGCTTCACTATGTAAATAAGGCTTAGATTATATCATAGAAATCACAAAAATCTAAAAGTTCTGCCTAAAGTGCGTTAATTTATCATACATAATTCACTGTGATTACCATACCGTATCACTCGTGGGTATTCATAATCCTCAATTATCCCATATACCCAGGCATCCTGGCCACGTTGGTCTGACTTCAACGCCGGACCAGTGCTCGGAACAGCAAAAAGAATAAATCCCGCTGTGCACAGCCGGTATATACACCTCCACCAACCATACATACACACAAAACCGGGGGGTAAACCTGTATATCGGGCACCCAACGGCTGAACTACATTTATATGACATCATGCAATCTCACTAACCCTCCCCTTTGTGGGAAAGAAAGGATCCAGGTGCGAGCGTCGTCCCACCAATCCATCGCATGGGCACTCACAGACAATACTCTCGTCCAAGAACTCGGTTTCAACAAACCTCGAATCCCCTATATTCTCCAGCTTCCGCACCAACTCCTGGCAGAGCCTTTGGTCGTTGGCTAGTTCCTTTGCCGCCCGCAGGGCAGACAAATAGCTGACCCGCGAGACCTCCACCATTTTTACCCGGCGGAAGGGGGACAGCTCCTTCGAGACTGTTGACACATCTGGCGGTGGAAGCGGCGATGGGGGTGTTTCGGACGGGGATCTGGATTTATCGTGTCTCGGTGCAAGAACGCGAACAGGGGTGTCGACAGGGCACTCTTTTGAGTGCTGTGTCCAGAGTTGGCAGAATTTGCTGGGGGGTTATATTAGTTGACTGTCAGAACCAACACAGAAGGTAAGGGACGAAGAGAAGAGAGTATTACCACTGAATCCACCCACGGCTATCCCCGGCAGTGCTAAACGCGCCCAGAGTCTTACAGCTTGGACACTTACTCTTGAAATCGGTGACCTTGGGCGCGCTGTCCATGTGACGGAACAGCATGCTCATAGATATTAGCCTCCCGGAGGTAATATTCTCGAGCCACCCGGTCGAGGTGATCTCCCTCTGAGACTCCTCATCGGTAACAGAGTACTCCCTTGAGAGCACCTTCTGGTGGCCGGGTAGGCCACGAAATGACAACTCCAAGAAGTTGTGGAACATCTCCGACGTTGCACACACCACGAATGGTACCGGGAAGGTCCTCCCGAGGGGATCTTGCAGCACGATAGAGCCCTCGATGTTTGCGCCGAGCTTTTTGGGGATCTCCGGCTGCTGCACGCGGATAGCGAGTTCCATATCCGAGACTTTGGCCTCTAGGGAGAAGACCGAGCGGCTTTTATGAATATTAGCCCGACGCTCCAGAGCATGGCAGACCGTGAGCAGCTCAACGGACAGGAAGGTTCAAGGAACAGGCCGTACGGAGTGTCTTGGCGAATCCCGAATCCGCCCGGCCTTGTTCGCTGAGCCCTCCCGTTTGTCAAGTCCTCACGCTCGGGAAGGAGTATGGTATCATAGGAAGAAAAACATACATCCCCGCGACCATCAACAAAATATTAATGGCCTCAATCCTCCGCCTCAGCGAGTCCTTTAGAATAGCCACGTCCTCCTCTTTAAAGATTTTGTAACTAATCTTCCTCCAAGCGTCCTTAACCTTCCTACCAGAGCCGCCATGACACAGACTCTCGCGATACTTCTCCGTATCAGCTGTGAAGTCCAGAATCAACTTCCGGCAACACTCAACCTCATAAGTTATCGCATTGGCGGTAGAAGAATTGGATTTGTCCCCACGCCGCAAATTCTGCACCACGTCCTTAACCGCCAGGAATGCGCTATGTAGCGACTTCAACTCGTCCGATAGTCTCGAGTACTGTGCCTTTGAACCGGTGTTGGAGTCCAGAGCATCGACGAGGTTGAGGATCAAGCCGCTTATGGCGATAAAGTCGCCTACCGAGAACCCGAAGGACATCCCGGCTTCGCTTTGCTGTCTTGCTTGCTTGCTGCCTGAGCTCAAGCTAGTACCGGTATGTCTCTGAAGCCACTACTTCGAGAGGGTGAGTCGTGGGATGATTTAGGGGCTTCGCTGGTTTATATGCCATCTTCCCAACCACTGAGCGCTGTAACATTCTGGGGCCAATGCCCGGGGTGGTTGCACAGTACTCGTGCTGTACTCGAGTATTGTTGCCAGTGTGGCTGTACGAATAGAAGCTTCGCGAAAGTGGAGCGATACGAGGTAGGCTGGGTGCAGGGTCTGGATGGGGTTTCTCCCCGCTTAGACGAAGGCTTACTCGTGTAGCGGAGTTTTTTTAAGCCACCTCATTTTGTGCGGCCGCTAGCCGTTTCAGTACGGTACAAGTAGGGTAGCGGTACTTGTACTTCTGCTGACAAGTCGGTAGTTGCGCAACTGTAAAGTCTCCTAATGCGCTAGTGTTGTTGTACTGTACTCGAGTACTGGTACAGTATCAGTACGGTAACCTGGAGGAATAATGCCGGTAACTCGAGTGTGGTGCTGAAGAGCACTCATCTCAACAGTACCGGTACTGCGCCAACATCAGTCTGGAGGCTGAGCAATGCGTGCAAGGGGGATTCTTCACGTACTGTACTGTACATGTACTAGTACCGCCTTGATAACTCCATGATTTATTTTATTTTACTTTTTTTTCTGCGGGAGGGAGGCTAGCCTATCCCTGGTTAGGTTCCGGCACTTGATCAGCTGAAAAGCTGCCGGGACTGAGGTGGGGATCCCGGATCTGGTACGGAGTCCGTTGGAAGCTGGATGAAAGGCTCACTGCATAGGGCTTTCGTCGGGCAGGCGCAATGTCGCTTGGAGTATTATGGGGAAGCGTTTTAATGCCCTGAAAGTGCAAGGACGGGAATGAGGAATCTCTCTCGTGGCACGAGTGTGGATTATGAAGGGTTTACGGGTCCAATATCTCCTGATCTTGGTAGATCGGCTGGGCCATGTAAACTCATATCGAGTACGATACTGTGCTGTACGAGTACTACCGCAGTACAGATAACGAGGGTTTCGTGGAGGGTTTTCTCAGCAGCGTCTATCTAAGGGTATCCCCTAAACCGCTGAGACATTCCAGTCCAGTTTAAAATGTTGTGCACTATCTCTGTAAGGTAACAGATCAGCAAACAACTCAACCTTAGCTCATTGCTTAGCAACTACATCACCTTTCAACCTGTGTTCAATATCTTCTGCAGCCTCCTTTAATATTATTGTTTATCCAAATGCCTCTAAAACGAAGACCATTTGAAAACATTGAACCTAATAAATGCTTGCGCCCACTCAAATGAGTGAAGACTTCTATTGGACTGGTATCAGCAAAACCTCAGACATCAGCAAAAATTATTTCTGTGTCAGAGGTGCAGGCAGTGTGTCCTGATGCAAGGCAGAATGATTCTGCATCCAGTACGTCCTGTATGTCTGGTACTGGAGCGTCAAGTCTGGTTGTATCCAGTACATCCTGGCACATATGCTAGGAAGTACCATGTTCAGATTGTATCCTGAGTAAGCGAGGCTGCCTAGTTACTATCCTGAGATTCTGAGTGATAAGCACAGCTGCCAGCCACTCCCCCTTTACCACTCCCATACCCGCTCCCCCCCTACTGGCTCCCCCCCTACCAGCTCCACCCCTACCGGCTCCACCCCTACCGGCTCCCCCCCTACTGACTCCCTTCCTACTGGCCCCCCCCCTACCGGCTCTCCCCCTACTGGTTCCCCCCCTACTAGCATCCTACATACCACCTTACTCCTTGCAGGCTCTATCTACCACCTACCCACCTACCCCCTTACCGGCTTCCCCTACTAGTACCTCTCCTGTATTTAGGACTTTGTTGTTTACTTCACCTGCTTTGCCAAGATAGCGAGGTTTTGGTTAAGTGCTAGGTTTAACACGAGATTCTGCTGGGGTCCTGGGGGCGCAGTACCTCATACTCAGCAACCTGATTCTATATGATGCCAGATTTCCAGTGGTGCCTAGGATGTCTACCCAGCATCTATATTGGTGGAGTTACAGCCTGTTATAAAAGTAGTCTTTACTGTGGTAGAGTGATGACTTGGATGCCAGATTGCCTGAGTGTCCTTTAGGTGCAGCATCTGATACTCAGCAACCTGATTCTACTTGACGCCAGCTTTCTAACGGTGTCTCAGACGTCTACTCGGCACCAATATTGGTAGAGCTGCAGCCTATTCTGAAAGTGGTCTTTATACTGGCAGACCTCTGGCAGAGTGCTGACTTTGATACCAAATTCCTCAGATGTCTTTTATGTGAGGCATCAGATACCCGGTGTTCTGATTCTACTTGATTCCAGCTTTTCAACAGTATATTGGACATGTACCCGATACCAATATTGGTTGAGCTACAGCCTGTTATGAATGTGGTCTTTAATATGAGGGACTTCTGGCGGACTTCTGGCACACTTCTGGTAGAGTGCTGACTTAGATGCCAGATTCCTCGGGCACCCTTTGTGCACCAGAGCTGGTACTTGGTTAGTTTGTTTTATGTTTTGTTTTAAGTATCGGTTGATACTTAGGTTGTTTCATGTTTTGTTTTAAGTATCAGTTGATACTTAGTTTGTTTTACGTTTTGTTTTAAGTATTGGTTGATACTTAGGTTGTTTTATATTTTGTTTTAAGTATTGGTTGATACTTAGTTTGTTTTATGTTTTGTTTTAAGTATTGGTTGATACTTAGGTTGTTTTATGTTTTGTTTTAAGTATCGGTTGATACTTGGTTAGTTTTACAGATTGATTCAAGTTGAGTAAGAACATGAGTGAGAATTCATGATTGTACTCAAACACATGTACTTAAAAAGACTGCCATCTTCCACTCTGGAAACGGCAGACTTTGACAGATAGTATTCTAATATACTCAGTTGAATGGTTATCTTTATTTTTCTATTATACCACTGAAGTCTCCCTTAGCAAGCTTAAGGACTGTTGGTCTCCGGCAGATCATCAGTTCTCTCCTATTATATCTTGCAACGTGACTAGCGCCCTAGCGTAAACACGTTACATTTTTTTAACCTCAATGAGTGGTTGAAATATGACAGATCAGGGCCTGACCAACCCATGAGGATTCAGCATAATGAAAGGTACCGGCAGAAGTGGCAGACCACGAGGGTTGGCTCCTGTACCACGAACTTGAATAGTGTGATATAGATCCACTTACAACTCGTAGTGGGTGCGAGATCCCACGAGAAGGCCTGACCCAAAGAGAGGAAGTAAGACCAAGTATAGGGACTACACCTGGTGAATTCCCAGAGTCACTAGCAAAAGAATGCAAACTACTGGCACCATCACCACCGCCACCCCCATCCGACAGTCCTTCGGAGGAAGAAGAAAATATGTCTAGTCATGGTAACTCCGCCCCTTTGGACCCCCCTTTGGACCCTCCCACACAAAAGCCTAGAATGAAAATCCCACAACCCAGGACGTTCTCCCGCAAAGGAGAAGACCTGAGGCCAGAAGCTTTCAGACAATAGTTTGTCAGGGTACAGCAATACTGGTCAATGTACGAAATTGACATGAAAGATTACAGATCAGGGATCTATTTCGGAGCTTTCCGCACAGACGATGGAACGGAGGCATACCAACAGTGTATCAAAGAGTACCGAGAACCTGATAAAGTAAGGGCAACCATAGTAGCCAACTTCCTGCGTGACCAATTCCAATCATCCCAAAATGTAGATGAAATATTTGAAAAATTCAACACAATCCAGCAGACGCATGGAGGAAAAACAGACAAAATAATCGAAACAGCAACGACGCTCCTAATGTACCATAGTCAGTTACCGATAGGTACAGTCTCAGCATACTCCCTTAAAAAACGATTCTATGAAAGCATGTACGTCAAACTATGGCAGGTAACGGAACTGCAAGAAATAGCAACTGATGATATCCCTGCAATCATCAAAAGAGCAGAAAGGCATGATGCCATCCTGTGGGATATGAACACCTACAAATCTATGGAGGCAAGGAAGGAAAGAGGACAACGGTACAGCCCTACCAGGAACTTGAAAAAGATAGGGACACCAAAACCAAAGGACAACCAGCAACAGCGACAATGAAGAGAAAACAACGAATGCTTTGAATGTGGAAAAAAGTGCCATTTTGCCAAGGACTGTTATACACGGAAATCCAAAGGCAAGAACATCAAAAAAGAAGCTACCACCAACCTCCTAGAAGAAGACGAAGAAAGCTCCTATAAAGAAATTAGTATTAACTCGGTAGTTGAAATGGTTAACTGCTACAAAACCACCCCAGCAGCAACGAGAATACTCCCCTTCCAATCGCTGGAAGGAATAGTAGAAATAAATGGCTTCCCCACAAGGGTCCTGTTCAATACAGGAACGATAGGGTATGACATCTTAAGCAATACCTTCGTGGCCACACACGGCATAAAAACACAACCCACAAAATATCTGGTAACCCTTAACATGGCCATGAAGGGATCTCGGTCAACTAGCAATAGCCAGGCTACCACCACTGTTCAAATAGGGAAAGCAAGGTTCCTAAACAATCCTATGCTAATCGGAAATATTGCAAAGTATGATGCGCTTCTCAGAATACCATTTATGACTTGTCACAAGGCAACTATCAGCTGCGGAGAAATGACGGTCACCTTCCCAAGTCAGAAAGCAAGAGTCTCATGCGGGCCTGCGAGCGGGGAACACAGGTCCGCAGTATCGGAAGCTGGTCAAATGATTATAGAGAAATTCAGCAATGTCTTTTCAGACAAAATACTAGATGGCTTGCCACCACTTCGGAAAATCAACTATCGGATACAAATAGAACCTGGATCACAAATCAAAGAGGAACCTAGGTACTTTGTGCTGGAAGTATACAAAACACTACTAGTATTACACAAATGGATCCAGACAAAGTTAGAGTAAGGGGTTATCTACCGTGATGCGGTAACAGGAGTAGCCCCTATGTTTGTACAACCTAAAAAGGACGGGAAAGGCATCAGACCATTAGTCGACCTTAAGCGATGAAACGATTTAGTAATCAAGGACACCACCTCGATATCCTGAAAACAAGACAATATAAATGCGGTCGGAAGGAAGGCGTACTGAGGCAAGATTGATCTCCACGACGCATACTTCCAAACAAGAGTAGACCCCAAGGATGAAAGAAATAACTTATCCAATTCACCCTTCATGACCATGATAAGCAGAGTAATACTGCAAGGGGACAAGAACGCACCTGTCACCTTCATGTGCATAATAGAAGACTTATTGGGGGAATACCTACATGAATTCGTATGGGTATACATTGATGACATCCTGGTGTTTTCAGATACAGTGGAAGAATACATGGACCATTTACGATTAGTTTACAAAAAACTACGCAAGGCAAAATACTACATGAGTAAAAAGAAATCAGACCTCTTTGAAAAAGAATTAGATATATCAGGACATATAATTAACGATGAGGGAATCCATGCAGCCCCTGAAAAAATACAGGCCTTAGAGGAATAGACAATACCAACAAATAAAAAGGAACTACAACGATTCTTAGGATTACTAAACTATATGGCACAATTCCTACTACACCACGTCACAATTACAGGCCCACTCACCAACCTAACGGGTGGAGCTGAGTGGGTATGGACGCCAACCCACAACCAAGTATTTAGAAACATCAAACGTCTCCTCAAGGAACACACGGTCATGCAACCTCTGAAAGAGTCGGAAGAACCTATCTGGCTAATAACCGATGACTCGGACATAGGAGTAGGGGTATGGGTAGGACTGAAACCCACTTGCGATACGGCTAGACTGGCAATGCTCCATAGCCAAAAATTTACTAATCCACAGTTAAATTATGGAACAACTGACAAGGAGGCACTAGCTATAGTGGATGTGCTACACAGTTTCAGCCACATATTGCTGGGAAGAAAGTTCACAATAGTTACGGATCACTGCCCACTAATATTCCAGAAGACTATAAAGCAACCTAGGAGGAAACAAATTAGGTGAATAACAGAGCTCAGCAAATACGACACAAAAATAATTTACCAAGAGGGAAGCAAAAACTATTTAGCTGACGTGCTAT